ACGCCTCTGCTCGCATCTTCCCAGGGGCAGGCTGCTCACTGCTTTCAAGGCTGCCCGTTCCAGCAGCGGACAGCCTGACCTTTGGAAAGGTCTTCCGTGCACTGACCTGAAATCTTACCATTTCTGGCCCCTGGAGTCTTAGACTTGTCTATTCCACGTTTCACACAGCTGCCCCTACCTGTCCTCACAGTCTGCCCTCCTCCCAGCCAATCACCAACCCCAGTCACCAGGGTTTCCCTGCCCTCAGCTCACCTCCTGGCTTACGTGCGAAAGAGTTCTCCTTTGGGGGAGTCAGAAAAGAGAGAGGGAGTCACTTTCTCGGTACCTGCTATGTCACTTCATTTCCCCCAGGGGGGGGACGAGCACCCGTTGGTATCATCGAGGGAGCACGTATCCTCTGGGTCAACCACAAACCTCGCTTGCTTAAATGGGTTTCGTGAGTGTTTCAACTTAACAAACTCAACTTAAGGGACACAGTGCACAGGGATGAGCACTGAAGGGGACATGCCTATTGGTACCAGGCAAGCAACAGAGGCAGGGGCCCTTGGACAGAAAGATGCTAATTGCTGTCCTGCTGAGATGGCTCCTAATCAGGAAGTACGAAGTCCAGAACAGGGCCTTCTGTCGCTCTAGCAGCCCAACGGGAGAAGGAACTATCCCTCTGCATCTCCACCCCGAAAGACCAGGGCTCCAATCCATGAGCTCCAGGGCTGGCTGGCCTGCCTGCAGGCACTTCTGCAGGGATTTCTGCAGCCTGGTGCTCCCTTCCTGCCACTAGGGGTCAGGTCAGACCAGTGCATCAACTATCACAGTCCCTCAGATGCTAGAGAAAGTCACCTGACAACTCCCTGCTTGCTGTGGTCCCAGTTCCAATGACACTGGGTGACCTTCCCCTCCCTGGTCCTCCATCCCCTTTCTGCATGATGAGGTCAGCAGAGGACAGGGCTAGCTCAGTGTTTCTTAAAACATGGCTCACATTTGTTTTAGGTACAAAGCATGTGGATACATCAAGTAGCATCACTCATTTCATTATGGACCAATAAAAACACCATGAACAGCTGGCAGTATTTTTCAAAGGTGAGTAATGTACACTCCTTTATATAGAAAACTCTTCTTGCAAGACTCCAAAAGTATGTCCACGGACCTCCAACAGCAGTGGTCCCATGGACTGCATTTGCAATAAACCTACTTATTCCATAGAAATGTCTTTGAATTGTGAGTTTAATGGCAAATATATATTTAATCTAAGTATATATTTAGATTATCATCCAAAGTAAAAATGCTTAATTTTAAACTGTTCGTAGAACTGGCAGATTCCTGAGAATATCTCCAAGCACCTCAGTTTGAGAAGCAGGTGTAGATGTCCATAAACCAATGGTTCTGTTTCTCATGAGAGAAAAGCTTAAATTAGAGCCAGTGGGATTGAAGTAAGATGTGAAGAGCTAATCTAAGTAGTGTGAGGTGCCAGGCAGCACAGCCCAGGGCAGTGATGGGTCTGCTCCTTGGGACAGAGACAGAGGGTCACTGCCCTGGATAGTGGGGGGCGGAACAGTCACAGAGGCAACGGCAGACATGGCTGAGATCACTTTGAGTCCTGGGAATTCTTAGTTATGTTTCCCTGAACCTGTGAGATGAAAATTTGACAGGAACGAGATGAAACGTGCAACTTTTCTTCCTGGAGTCACTTCATGCACCATTCCTACAAGCAGGATCCCATGGAGGTCTGGGTGGGGAACTCCAAGGGAATGCCAACGATTCTGACACACAGCACCATCTTAGGGGCCCACGAAGAAATACCAAAACTAGGAACAGTTTCCTGAGCTGGGTCAGACCACAGGCCTGGCCACAGGCAAGACCCAAACATCAGAATCCCTCAAGCCACTGGGCTCCATGATGCTAAGCCTGGCCTGCCCCCAGCTTGGGAGACGTGAGGACGATGACGGAAAGGGACAGGGCAAAAGAGTAAGCCCAGCAGGGTTTGCAACAAAGCTGATCATAAATGGCAGAGCTCTGAAGGCTTACTCTGTGTGACCGACCGTGACCGTGACTGCGTGACTGTGGCCATCCCCCCCCCCTCGCCCCGCAGTGCTACCTTGGAGATAAGCAGGGAAGCAGAATGCAGAAGCGGGTCTATCTTCCGCCTACAGATGGAAGGATTTAGCGCTGAAAAGATGAGTTCCCTGGATTATAGGATCAAAGACAAGCGATGATAAAGTCTTGAAGCATCTCTCTTGGAAAGCCCTTTAGTCAGACCCCGTGGAGTCAAGGACAGATCAAATGCTTCTCCTGCTGGAGGGAAGGGCCTGGACAAATGGCCCTTAGACTCACAACCTGTCTGCAGCTGCTGGGCTATTTTATCCACTGTCCACAGCCTACAAGCTTTTCCAGGTTATAAAAATATTTGAAATCTGAAAAAAATAATTATTAACTCCCAAATACAGAAAGAAACCTGCAAAACTGAAAGCAATTTGCTTCATTACACGTCTGCAAAATATAACATAAGATTAGCTAGTCAACTGTAGCTCAAGTCTTACATAAATTACATTGACTGTGGGATGCAGGAACGGTTTGATACGCTTGCTATGATGGGGGGCAGAGCCTACAAAGGTTTTCCTAATGAGCAGGTGTCACGTTCACCCCTCTCTCGGCTGAGCTAACCAACCCGGCTCCCTCTTTCCTCCCCTTTCATCTCGTCTCTTATCCCTCATCCCCCTTTCTTCTTGATTTCCCAATTTCTATTTCACCCTGGCTCCCACTGTCCATCACAACTGAAACAGATGCCCCAGGAATCTCCCACCAGCCTAGGCGAGCAGCTCAGCCCCTACCCCCACTCCCATGAGGAATCTCAGCAGCTGACCCCAACTAGGCCATCAGAGCTCTGCCCTGCTCTCTGTGGTCCAGCCTGGCAGCGAGGGACGGACCCCAGGCTTGCCCGGGCTGGGCTAGCATGGGTGGAATCTTAATGGAGTCAGGAACCAGGAGGCAGTGTCATGTAGCTGTTAAGAACACAGGCTTTGGAATCTGACAAACCCGGATTCAACTCCCCTGTCTGCTGGGTGACTTGGGACAAATTGCTTTGTCTCTTTGAGTCTTAGTTTCCTCACATGTAAAATCACACCCATCATTATTAAAACTGGGTATGAATTATCATACCAAAATTATTATGCCCATAATAATAGCCTTCCTCACAGGGGACAGAGGGCAGTCATGAGGCTTTCAATGGAATAATGTATGTTAAGCTTTCACTTTCCATGAAAACAGTAATAACAGCTAACATTTCTACTGAGCATTTCTTGTATTCCAGGCCACATGTACTTTTCCAGGCATTATTTTAGGGAGTTTTCCCACTGATTCCATGACAGAGGTCCTACGGATCACCCCTGTGCCGTGCATAAGAAATCTGTCGCTCAATTGACATATATACACTACCAAATGTAAAATGCATGGCTAGCAGGAAGCTGCTGCATAGCACAGGGAGATCAGCTCGATGTTTTATGACAGCCTAGAAGGGTGGGATAGGGAAGGTGGGAGGGAGGCTCAAGAGGGAGGGGATATGGGGATATATGCATACATAGAGCTGATTCACTTCGTTGTACAGCAGAAACTAACACAAAATTGTAAAGCAATTATACTCCAATAAAGACGTTAAAAAAAAAAAAAAAAAAGAAAAGAAATCTGTAGCTCAGAGACTTTAAAGACCATGCCCAGGATTGCACAGAGCTGGGATTCTAATATAGGCAGGTCTAACCCTCACCCCACACATACCGCCACCAAAATGGTAGCTTTACAAATCATTTTGCAGTGGGCAATCCAGCAGAACACTGACCTAAAGACCAGAAAACCTGGGTTTGAAACAAGGTTCTACCTCTCCTGCAGGTGTAACGTTTTGAGCAGCCCTTCAGCCTCTCTCAGCCTATCCCCCTGTGTGTGAGTGAAAAGTAGTAAGACCCAAGTTCTGCCAACTGCACAGGATTACAGCCAGCCTCAAATCGGATGCTGGATGTTAAGTGCTGGGTGGACCAACATGCACTTGGCGAGCATGTGATGATGAACGTTTTTTACCCCATGCCGGCTAAGTGTCTGTCCAAGCTCTAGTTGAATACTTCCAGGGACAGAAAGCTCACTACTTATTTTAGCAGCTCACTCTGGTTAGAAAGCTCTTCCCTTTACAAAGTCCCCGAGTACTTGACTGTAACTCCATCCCACCAGCCCTGGCCAGGTCCTCCACTGCCCTGGCAACTGGGCACGATCCTTGCAGTCTCCCACACTGGCTGCTGCAGATTCCTAAGGCTGGTTTCCTTGCTCCTGCCATCCTGCCCTGGGCTCCCCAACCACAGAAAGAGGCAGATGAAAGCAGGAA